ACTGTCCAAATTTCTGGATTAGCCAAAGTCTGCCTGACCATCATGGTGGGATGATGGGATGGGAAAACCACATGAGTAAGCAGACAACTGGTCTATAGAAGCATATTAAGGAGGCCAATCTTCCAAAAATACTACTGTATTTGGGTGACTCAACTGACTGTTTCTCATTTAGTCTCTAAATCTCTGTATGCACGAAGGCTCCTGCCTGCTCTACTCCCACAGATGTGTTCTGACAGAGTAACAAGATGTCCCTGATGACTGCCATTGCTATGATCCTGTTATTACTGGCTCCTCTTCCTCTAACCACTCTTTTAACACCAACATGCACTGGGAATTTATTGTGGCCCACCACCACACTCCCCCTCTATAGTATTCTCAAGGTTCTAACTACTACCCAAATACAAAGGATTTCAGCTATCTCCCCACAGCTTGAGGCTCCATATCCAACTTCCACACAGATGACCCATGAACTAAACTAAACACACCATCCTTGGTGGCTTCCTGTTGCCTATAAAATCCAGGCCCCCTCCTTGTCTGGCTTCACCTTATTACTTCCTGTTCTGCCTCATCCTCACCTTACTATAGCCTCATCCTCTGCCATACATTTTCACTTCTTTGAATGCTTATAAAATAAAATTACCACCTAAAAATAATTGAAGGTCTATTATATACCAGGGACTATTCCAAGCACTTTATATGATTAACTCAACAATCTTCACAACAATCCCATAAGGTAGATGCTGCTATCTTCATTTTACAATGAGGAAAGTATCTTGCTGAAGCTGCTAAGTAGTGGAGTCAACATACAAACCTACATCCTGTGCTCCTTACCTTTATATATGTAATTTCTTATAAATTCCTACACATGCCAAGCACTGTCCTGGGGATTCAAGGTGAATGGGACAAAGCTCATGGGAATTATAGTCTAAATAAACAGAAGAAACAAACAAGCAAAAACCTTATTATAAGTCATTTAAAAGTGCCAGGAAGAAAATAAACAGAATTTTGTGACAGAAAATTCACAGAGGTGGATGTATATGAGATGGAAAAAAGCCAAGCCTCTGAAAAAAATGACTTTTAAGGAGTAACTTCACAGCTGAGAGGTCTATGCAAACAGGAGGGACATATCCAGAAAGCACCAAAATGTTAGAAAGCACAAAGGTGGTGTTATAGACTGAACTGTGTTCCCCCAAAATTCTAATGTTGAACCCTTAACTGCCAATGTGACTGTATTTGGAGACAGGGTCTTCAAGGAGGTAACTAAGGTTAATAATGGTAAGGTTCTACTTGGCTAGGATGGGTGTCCTTATAAGAAGAAGAGGAGATACAAGGTATTGATCGATTGATCACTCCCTCTCTCCACATGTACACAGAGGAAAGGCCATGTGTGGACACAGTGAGAAAACACCCCTCTACAAGCCAGGAAGAGAGGCTCACCAGAAACCAACCCTGATGACACCATGATATTGACTTCTAGCCTTCATAACTGTGAGAAAATAAATTTCTGTTAAGTCCTCCAGTCTATGATATTTTGTTATAGCAGCCCAAGCAAACAAATATATGCCAGAAAGACTTAGGTGTTTCCCAGGAACTGACAAAAACCAGTGTGTGAGAATACAGAGAGCAATGGAGATAATAATATGTCAAAGACTCTTCAGTCCATAGACGGTAGATGAACCTGAAATGAGATGAGCACAAAAACAGTAGCTGCTGCTAAAGTTTTAAGCTGGCTCATACTGGATTTGAAAATGTATGCTATTAGGTTTTGTTCTCAGTGACTGAGAGTCAGTAAAATAGTGAGTAGAATACACCAATTTTTTTTTTTTTTTTTTTGAGAGAAAGAGGAAGAGAGTGGGAACTGGGGAAGGGAAGAGAGAGAGGAGAGAGAATCCCAAGCAGGCTCTACGCTCAGCACAGAGCCTGATGCAGGACATCCTATGACTGTGAGACCACACCCTGAGCTGAAATCAAGAGCTGGACACCTAATCGACTGAGCCACCCAGGTGCCCCTAGACTATAGCAATTTATATTCCACCCTGGAATGCATAAAACAGCCCCACACAACAAAGAACTGAACCCTTCCCAAAACGTTAATAGAGCCCTATTGAAGAACAATGGCTAATGGGTATGTCCCATTTACCTAGGGGACTACGGGAAAAAGAACTTTTTTTTTTAAGTTCTTACACCACCAAGGATAGTTCTGAAGGAATTCTGGTGAAATAACAAATATGTACTGTGCTCATGTGCAAGGAATAGCGCTGGATATTCTGAGCACGTCCAAGTGAATCAGACACCAATCCTAGGTCTAAGAGCCACAGGAAGGTAGACATAACACCACATTTCATCAAATCTAAGGGACCAGTGGTTATAAGATGTGTCACTTTATACATGACTAATTGGGATACTACAAAGTAAATTGTGACATTAACTGCAAAAATACATCCTGATTTCGGAGCTATTAAAAGGTGAAAAAATATATGTTTAAATAAATGGAAAAGAATATGAAAATAGCTAAATGCAAATAATAGAAGTCATATAAAAGAGTCCATAGAGGGAATGGACTGCTTCATGCAGAAGGTAGTATCTAAGCCAGATCTTGAAGGATGGGGAGAATTGGGAAGAGCAGAGATGAAAAGAAGGAATATTTTTAGAAAAGTCAGCTGCAAGAGGTAAAGCCTAACAAGAGTAAAGTGAGAGATGGCAAGGGAGAAATATTTAACGAGAAAAGTCTGTCGAAAAGTTAGAAAGACAAGGGTTAGGAAAAGCTTGAATACAGCAAGGCTAAAGAGGCTGAAATTTATTGTATATGCTGGGGAATGGTTCTCAGACACTTTTTTCTTTTTTTACCCTGATACACTTTAGGGCTATAATACACATAAAAAATAGGGCTCACTCTAGCAAGGATTCACTATGAGAGATGCAAAATCAGCATAAGCAATTAACTCTGAGAGTAAATTTAGAAAAATCTACTCAGAAAATCCTAATTTCTACCTCTGCCTTACCTTGAAAATCACTGTTTTCTATACACTAAAACACCTCAGAAAAATCTGAGTACCCAAAATAGTTCAAGTTACATTTTGGGAAAGGTAATCCAGGAGACTGTGTAAAAATGAATGAGCATTAGAATAAAGATTAAGGATTGAGAATCTGCATAAGAAGCTGATCTTCCAGGAAGAAGTTAAACAAATTTCTATTAGATTAGTGATAGTCGGGAAAATGTATGATGAAACCTTTGCAAGAAACAGAAAAAATAAAGGAAAGAAAAAGTTTAAAATACAACATAATAAGCTCAAACAAGGACAAATATATTCCAAGATACTGGGGGTCATTCAGGTGATATCAAAAAGATATCCAAGATTAGAAGAAGTGGATTGAGGTCTAGAAAGAGCTGTGAACATCGTCTAAAAAGAGACACTGCGGGGTACCTGGGTGACTCAGTTGGTTAAGCCTCTGACTTCAGCTCAGGTCGTGATCTTGTGGTTTGTGGGTTCAAGCCCCACGGCTCAGTGCTGGCAGCTTGGAGCTGGAGGCTGTTTCAGATTCTGTATCTCCCTTTCCCTCTGTCCCTCCCCTGCTTGCTCAGGCTCTCTCTCGTGCGTACTCTCTCTCTCTCTCAAAACTAAATAAACATTAAAAAAAATTAATGAAGTAAAGTAAGAAGAGTTATTGAAGCCATAATATGAATAAAGCCACCAAAAAGAAGGCAAAATAAGGTAACGCAAAGACAAATTTTTGAAATAAACATGTATTAAAGCATTTAATTGCACTATTACAAATAACTACCTTCATATTTTATAATAATCTCATGTTGATCATCATCATTGCTAATTCTAACACTATAAATGTACAAACTAAAAAGTGAAGCATAGTGAGGATTAAGAACATGCTTAGGATCATACAAAGCAATTATAAAAAGGGAGTGTTTCAGTTAATCTCCAATCTGGTGTTACAGCCACCTAGAGATGGCGTGTGTGTGTGTGTGTGTGTGTGTGTGTATTTGTGCAAACTTGGTCAAAAAGCAATAGTCCACACCTCTGAAAGCAGAACCAAAGAGCAACCAAGAAGATATAATTATAGGAGGAATTAGTGTTCAAATTCCTAGATGGCTTCCTAGATGGCTTTAAACACTCAATTATCCAGTTCAATCTATGAAAAACTGCAGTCACACATTCCATAGTATCAAATTGTTTTCTCCTTAAAAAATTTTTTTTGGAGAGAGTGAAAATATTTAAGATGAATATTTTTAAATCGGGTCTTCTTCAAATGTTTTTTCAAGTACTTTTAATCCATAAAATATGATGTTTGCACATGAAAAAATATGGTTTCAAGCCCCACAGGGATAAGAAAGAAGAAAATCTATAATTCTCTGGTGTTAACATTTAAATGTGCTATAAATTTAACAAACAACTTTAATTGAACTCTAATTCATCTTGGCTGAAACACCTTCTGACAACCTTCCACAAGACCTGGAGCACAAGGCTTAGAGGGAAGGGAAGGAAATGAAAGAGGGAACAAAGACAACAAGAGAGTGGAAAAAGGCAAGAGGGAAGGAAAGGAGAGGTGAGCCCGGTGAAGAACTAGCGACCGGAGTGAAAACGGTAAAAACCATCATATTCCCTGAAACAGATTTACCGAGCACAGAGAATGATGCAGCTTTTGGCCAGAGCTGGGCACGATAAGGAGTCTCGAAAATCATACAGCCTCATCTACTCGTACCACACCTCAGGTTTTTTCCTGCACAAGTCCGAGGACTCTACTAGGGAAAGCAAACAGCCCACAACCAGCAATGTCTAAATGATTAGACAAACTGAGGTGGTCTATTAATAGTTTATCAATATGTGTTCTTGTGCTACTTCACGATGACTTTTACACAGCAGATTCCTCTTTCGGGGGCGGGGAGGGGGGAGAAGTCCAAGTAATTTTCTATAACTACATGCCATACGAGAACACTGTGGTTAAACTTACACATGGCAAGAAAAGTTTTGAAAAATGGGAAATACCTCAGTCTGACCTTCGTGGGCACTGGTCTCATGAGTGACTCGGATAGCCTGTAAAGAGAACACAGGGAATTAACAGGAAAAAGGGACTATATCCAATTTTAAAAAGAAAACAACAAGGCTAAATTTTAACATCTAAAGCTTTGTTAAGAAACAACAAATTGGAAGAAGTTTAGGAACAGCTGAGTGTTATGTATATAAGAATGATTTCTTTTTTTTTTTTATTTTTTTATTTTTATTTATTTCTAGGAGAGAGAGAGAGACAGTGTGAGCAGGGGAGGGTCAGAGAGAGAGGGAGTCACAGACTGAAACAGGCTCCAGGCTCTGAGCTGGCAGTCAGCACAGAGCCCAATGCGGGGCTCGAACCCACAAACCGCGAGATCATGACCTAAGCGAAAGTCGGACGCTCAGCCGACTAAGCCACCCAAGCGCCCCTATAAGACTGATTTCTAAGGAACCAAATGACTTGATGTACTTTCCAATCCACAAATCCCTGAAGACTCAGGAAACTGAATATCTGATTATTTGTAATTTCCAGGTGTTACGTGGGAGTCATTTAAATTATTTGTTAGGACTAACATTTAACACTTTATTCAACTGGGACTAGAATAAAGTAAGCATCTCACAGATAGAGACTGAAAAAGCTGATCTCATCTGTTTCTCCAGGTTACATGCTCCTCTGCAGCTCTGGCTGTAGTTATGCTTAATCATGCAGCTTCAGTCAGCACTTTAAAAATGTGGAGCAAAAAGCATGCATTTATCAGAAGCTAGAGATTTTAGTTTCTGAACGTAAAAAAAAAATGCCCTTACAATACCCACTATTAGCAAACATGAAGAAAATGGGCAAAATTAGTCATTTTCAGGTGAAAAGTACAACCTTTATGAGTTGCAATTTGGCAATAAGTTTCAAGGCCTTAAAAACATGCAAGTTGTTTGATCCAGCAATTTTTCTTCTGGGAGTTTATGTATTTACATATGACTGTACATAAGCATATAATTAAGGATATTTTTAAAGATTTAGCTACAATAATATACCTTGTAGTATTTCTTTAAATAGGGAATAAAGGGGAAAAGTATTAAATTCCCAACAATAATTTATTGGTGAAATAAATATTTGTACAATGGAAAGCTATGCAGCCATTAAATGATGATATCAAATATATACTTACTGGTATGGAATACATTTGTGATAAGTTAAGTGAAAAAAGCAAGTTATAAAACAGTATTACAGTGTGATCAAGTTTTTGTTTTAAAAGCTTGTGTATATACATATATACTCCCTATAAAAAATATTAATAATGGTGGCTACCTCTTATTGTAGGATTACTGGTGACTTTTATGTTTCTTAATTTACTTCTGTGTAAAATAAAGATGTTTTATGAGATCTTTAGGTTTTTTAAAGAAAAATTTAAGACAGTCAAAGTAGATAAGAATGCTAAAACAACATAATTAAAATCAATGAATCTGTTGGGCATAAACTCTGTATAGGGCATTTTTCTAGCCAAATAATCTGTACACGGTACTGCTCCTAATTCCAAAGAATTTAAAATCTACCTAGTAGTGTTACTAAGAGGTAAAAGACCTTCAAAAGAAAAATAGAGTTCAAAACCAGTAAAATTTAAACACCATTGTAAAACAATTCTATGAAATGGTACAAGCAGATTACATGGCCTGTTGTCTTCACACATGCAAAAATGTTACTAAGCTGATAGAATAAATAGCTAATACAGGATCTGACATCTAGCCTTAAGCCTTTGTTTTTTCCATTGGTCTTCACCCTTGTTCCAAATTCCCAGTGAAAGACACACAGAGTATTGGCAGGCATCCCTTTACTATGGGGAGGGAATGGTAAGGGATAGTAAATCAAACTTTTTTTCTCCCATTCAGGTCTAGCTGTAGAAAAGAAGTGGGAATTTATCAACATTTATGGATATTTCAGGTAATGACACATGAAATACAGAAGATTTTTAACAGACACAATAAAATCTCTAATTGCTCAAAACTACAGTTTCAAGACAAACACCCCAAAAGTATGTACAATCCCACAAGAGATCGAGACAGAAAGAAGGTACCAACGTCATAGTTCTCTAGGTATCTGGCTCGTTCTTCAGGGCTCATTGACACAGACTCCTCCAGGAATTTTTTCAAGGTTGATCCAGATTCTGAGAATAATAAAGAAGATAAAATTGAGGTCTGTTACCTCAAAGATGCTGATATATGAAAATACTAGAAGCATGCTCTTTTTTCAGATAAAAACCCTTTCACTGCTAAGTTGGGACTAGAAGGATGTTGGGATAAATGATAGGCTTTAAGGTGTTGTTAAACCTCTGTTTATCAACACTAGAAAAGAATGGGAAAGATTAATATTTCTTCTAACAGTATATACAGTCCTATTAGGGGGGAAAAAAAGAAGAAAGGAAAATGCTTGATTTGACACTTTAAAAGAGAGAACTATAGCACCACCTACTGCTCAATAAGTGTGTGTGTGTGTGTGTGTGTGTGTGTGTGTGTGTGTACGTACGTACGTACGTACGTGTCGGACAAGCTGTAATAAAAAATTATTTACCAAAGTGCATCTTGTCTTTATTGTTGGCAATAGCATGGATCAGTCCAATTGTTCCACAGGCATTGCTGATTGTTTGCTTCATGAAATATACTGATGATGTAACGTCTTGTCCCTGAGATTTTATTTTTTCCTCCTCCTCCGTTCTGAATACTTCATACTATTAAAAAGAAGTCAATAGTCTACTTGTGAAAACAATACATCAAACAATACATCAAAAAGTACTCAAACATGAAACTAGGAAACTTGTCATACCCATTAATGGGCATTTGGTTAACATAATAGCATATCTTAATGGAATTCTATGTAAGACTTAAAAAAGAATAAAATAGATTTAGATATTCTGACTCAAAAATCTGTCTGTGATTATTGGGTGGTTCTAGGTAGATATATATTAATATGATTCTCACTTATGTTTTTAAAATATCTACTTTATATATGCATTGAAAAATCTGAAAGAGTATACAAAAATTTAACAGAGGCTATCTCTGGGACCATAGATTACTGGAGGATTTTTATTTTATTTTTATAATAAAATACTCCTTTTTTTTACATTTCCATATTGTTAAATCATACTGTATTTAACACACTATATTTATTAGCATATTATATTCTTAACAAACATTCACCATTATCTGTAATACCTGATTTAAAAACAATCTGGGAATAATAAATGTCAGAAGTGTGGGTTCTAAACCTGACTTCCCAAGCCTACATCCTGGATCCATTACTATTTGCTGTGTGATTATCTGACAAGTTACTTAATGTCTCTGTGTCTCATTTTCCCACTTGTTAAAAAAAAGGTTAAAAAATAATAAAGAGGATAAAAAATGAGTGACGAGGAGGAGGGAGAGAGTAGAAAGATGATTTTATTGTTTTGTTCTATAACATTTAGAATCCAAGAGAGTAGGAAATCCACAAACTACAATCTACAGGCCAAATCTGGCCCACTGCCTGTTCTCATAAAGTTTTATTTTTGTAGTGTCTGTGGTTGTTTTCACACTAAAAAGCAAAGTACAATAGTTATACCACAGACCTGTAGGCCTACAAAGTTGAAAATCTTCATTATCTGGCCCTCAAAAAAAAGTTGGCTGATCCTTGCAATTAAGGAAACGAATGACATCTACAGTAAACCCATAATTCAGGAACTGCTTTTAACAACAAATGTATATGTGCTTTAAAAATAATTTTTATAGGAGCGCCTGGGGGGCTCAGGTGGTTAAGCACCTGACTTCGGGTCAGGTTGTGATCTCAGGGCTCATGAGTTTGAGCCCCGTGTCAGGCCTTGTGCTGATAGCTCAGAGCCTGGAGACTGCTTTGGATTCTGTGTCTCCCTCTCTGTCCCTCTCTCGCTCATGTTCTGTTTCTCTCTCTCTCTCTCTCTCAAAAATACGAAAATAAACATTAAAAAATAATAATGAATAATGAATAATGAAAAAATAAAAATGAATAATGAATTTGCTTCTAAATCAAATTTTTAAGTTACATTTTCAGAATAAATTCTGCATCATTAATTCATTCATACAAGTTAAACTGATAAAAACTGTACACTATTCAATGCAGTAAGCTTATGCTGAAATGTTTATATGGTCCTACAGTTTAGTGTGCTTTTGTTTAATAACACTGTTCTTCTTTGCTGGCAAAGAAAAATGAGAGTTTTTCTTTGACTTAACATTTTTCTCAAGACTTAACATTTAAGAAGAAAAATCCTAAAATGAAACAGAGCAAGTCTAGGAGAAAAAGTTATTAACAGCAGACTAAAGTGAAAACACATGGTCAAGAGACAACAACATTAGAGAGAAATAAATTTATAGCCTCTTCACTTGCAACTCATTGGTTAGCAAACACTACAATTAAACACACATTTAAAACACCATAATTGAGTGTATTTAAAGAATAACAAAGTATCCCTAACAGTTATTTTGGTATTAGTACGCTTTAGCCATTTGCAACTACATAATCAGTTTCTAAATCAGAACACAGAAACACTTAGTATCTCCTTAAAAAGCCACTAGATATCCACTGAGTGACTTTATTATGTCCCTTTAAGAACTGAAATGGAAATATACCAAATTGTAAGGGACACCCAAACATGGCAGATGCCATTATATTCTCCACTTTAATATTTTAGAATTGTGTTTTTTTCTAGCAATGGGTCCAATCACCTTTTCAGTACTGGTTATCCACTAAATGAAGAGTCCTTATTGATAAGGACAACATGCTTTTTTAAAAACTGATGACCCACTAAAGGAAGGAGACCGAATCCAATTTATTCTTTAATAAGCAAAAAAAAAAAGTAGGTCATATATCTCAATGTTTTGGGAAATTTCCAACTTGGACCATAAACTCACATTTGTATCACACCAACTAAGAAAGCCTAGGCTTTAAGATTTATTTATTTTTTCTTTTCATTTTATTATTCCGTACAATTGAGTCCTGGGATAGCTATCTATTGGCTTACTTTAGTAATCAAAAAACAAAACCAAACCAAAAAAATGAGAATAACATTGGACTAAAACAGTAAGCTTAAGTGTCCTAATTCCTCCTCAAATTTCAGAATAATTACAACCTCACCATTAAAAGTAGTTTAGTCTAAAAAGGGATAATTACTAAGATATTTCTAACTCTTAATTTCTATATTACTAACAGCAAATATGAAGAAATATTCCTTCTTATTTTAATTAATTTTATCTTATTTATTTAGAGAGAGAGATAGTGTAAGTAGGGGAGGAGCAGAGACAGGAAGAGAGAATCCCAAGTAGGCTTCACACTCAGCCCGATATGGGGCTCACTCCAAGGATCCTGAGACCATGACCTGAGCTAAAACCAAGAGCTGGATGCTCAACCGACTGAGCCACCCAAGTGCCCCTAAGATGCCTTTTAGATTTCCTCGTTTTTTAAAAAAATTTCTTTACATGTGTATTTACTTTTGAGAGAGAGACAGAGCTCGAGCAGAGAAGGGGTAGAGGTAGACAGAGACACAGAATCCAAAGCAGGCTCCAGCCTCTGAGCTGTCAGCAGAGCCTGATGTGGGGCTCGAACTCAGGAACCGTGAAATCATGACCTGAGCCGAAGCTGAGGCTCAACCCACTGAGCCACCCAGGCACCCCTAGATCTCCTCATTTTATGCAAGAAGGGATTCATGTATTCTTAAAGAAGAGCATGTTTTTAATTCAACATTGAAAGAGAATATTACATTTATCAGAAACTTCATCTTAATTAACAATTACCTTTTCTGTAATAGGGAAGAGAAGTAACACTGCACACACTGGTCTTGGTACCATGCTGAGAAGTTCAGGATCCATTCCATATACATCAACAAACTGCCAGTTAGGATGCAGACCTAATTGTTTGAGGAACTGGTAAAAGTTGAAAACAAACAAACATTTCAACGTTAACAGGGAAATAACATGTATTATTGCATATCTAATAAATAAAAGGGAATGCAAGGTATACTTATTACTGATGTTCAGTAAGAAAAGTAAAGCAGGTTTTCTATGAATAGAGTAGGAAAAGAAAGCAATTTATTTTTATCAATTAACAAACACTGAAAGTTTATATTAAGGAAAATTCCTTTTTATAAAATCCATTACTTTGGGATTGAACATAATAAGCCAGGACTTCGCCAAACACATACAATTTAGCTTGGTTGATATGTTAAACTCATTTTCAGTACATGACTTTAAAGAAGATGTATTTAAGTTCTCTCAAATAAACAGTTATATTAGATGATCAACACTTTATCCTACTTACCAAAAATGATGCCTGAGGTTTAAAGATAAACAGATATCACAAATTATATCAATGAGCAAAAAGTACATAAAGCCAAAAGAGTCCAAGTGATTATATGAACACCAGAAAATGCTTGCTATAAGAAGTAAACTCCTGGCTTCCTAACCTCCAGTACACAAGGAAACCCACTCAACTTTACTGTCTCATACCTGGCAAAATGACTGTAACAAAAGATTAGTATTTTTTTAAACTCTGTAGATTTCACAGGAAAATAAAATGTCAGACCCTAATCTACTGCAGACAGAAAAAGAAAAAGTAATGTGAATAATGTCAATTTCCCAATAAAGTCTTAATAAATGTTTGTGCTGAATGAAGCTGATGATTTACAAAAGTATACCATCACAAAGTAAGGTTTAGGTGACAGAAGAAAAAAAAAAAGGAGGAGAGGGAAAAAATCATATAAAAATGTATTATTATTCCTTACTTCAAGAATATATTATAATTTATCTGAAATTTGAAACTAAGGTGCCTTGAGTATTTCTCCCTGAAGAATGATCATGTGTATTTGAACCTTCAGTTGAGATCTCGCAAAACCAATAGAAAGCATGCCATGTCCATGAACAGTGCCATTCATCTCACACAGTCATGTTCTGTAAGAAAAGTCTTTCCTAATTAAAGGGCTGCTTTCCATATTTCTCTACTTCTCAGCCTGGCAAAGAAAGTCTAATGATAATGTGGTTGGTCAAAATAATGTCCTACATAGGTTTAATAAGAGATATGTTGAATTAAAAAACTTCTCTTGGCAGAATGTGCTCAATACCTATTAGGTTCTTTAAGTAACATGCTTTCCAAAAGTCTGGGGTCACAGAAATCAATGGACTCTTCTATATCATACCTACTCTTCAACTGATTCCTACCCACGATTCCACACTTTAATATGAAGTTCACTGAAGTACTCTAAACTACTTCTCTATTCTCCACTTTCTCTAAAATCTTTAGTCTATGCCCTTCTCAATATTCAATTTGATCTGGAAACCAAAAAGAATTAAAATAGACCACAAAGTCAAGGGAAGGAACTGTGTCTTAATCATCTTTTTAATCCCATCACCTAACACTATACCTGACTAAACCAAAGACACTCAAGTTTTATTTGTTGAACTGAAGATTATATCCCTAATTTTAACAGATAATCTTACCATCTGTATGTTTATGAGTGTCCATTAAGCTATATGTATCATGAATATCTAAAATATATTCATTTTGGGGGCACCTGGGTGGCTCAGTCAGTTGAATGTCTGATTTCTTCCCAGGTCATGATCTTACGGTTCATGAGTTCAGGCCCCACATCGTGTTTGCTGCTTTCAGCTCCAGCGCTCTTCAGATTCTCAGATTCTCTGCCCCCTCTCTCTGCCCCTGCCCTGCTAGTGTACTCTCTCTCTCAAAATAGAAATATTTTTAAAAAATTTTTATATATATTCATTTTTATTTGTATCATGTTACACAGGGAGGAAAGACATATTTGGCTCCTAATTGAAAACCAGGCATTCATTTAATCAATACAGAACACTGCCTGCCCACTCTACAGCCATAACCACCATGAACGTGCCCTGATCTCCTCTGAACTTGGAAGCTAAGCAGGGTCGGGCCTAGTCAGTACTTGGATGGGAGAATACTATCTGCCTGGGATAGAAAGCTCTAAAGGGAAAAATTTCATAAATCCTGATAAGAGGATTAAAATTCATTTGTTAATTTTATATACCCCAAAGTCATATTGTCATAAAAGTATATAACAAGATGGTACACATAACAGAGGAATTTCACATCTGTGCTGCCGACTGCAAGTAACGGTGAAACATTTTAGTGACAATCTTACTCCATGTCAGCCAAAGCTATTAAGGATGAAAAGTACTAAGATCCAAGGCAGCCACTGGAGAGAGACTGATTAGTAACAAACTGAGGAATGAATGACTACATTAACATAAAAATGGCTAAATGTGAACTGGAATCACACTTAAATTTTTACTCATATTGCTAATCTCAAACGAGATTGATATAAAAAGTTCAATATCTATCAAGTACCTGTGATGTATCCTCTGACTCCATATTGCTGTAAGACTCACACAGGAAGTCGTCATATGAATAAAAAGAACAAAAGCAGCTATTAATGGTAACTACCTCTGGGAAGTGAAGAAAGGGTGGGGAAGAGGGTCTTCAACTTTTACCTCTCACTTTTTTTTTTAAGCCATGGGCTGTCCTACTTTGATAATTAAATAAACACATCTGTATTTAAAATTATCCTATGTAAATAGAGAAAGATTGGAAGGAAATTCTCTAAAATATTGACTGCTTAAAAATAAATAAATAAATAAATAAATATTGACTGCAGTTAGGTTGAGTGATGTGAACTCAACTTTTTATATTCCAGTTTTAAAAAAATGTGTTATTTTTACAACTGTTATATGTAGTCTGTAAGTTATAAAAATCTATATAGAATTGATACACATATGTGTTTTAGTTAAATTTACAAAACTGGGAGAAAACTCAAAGTAACTATCTTAAAACTACTCCAAAAAAACTTCTCTAGATTACAGAGTATTCTATATATGCATTTCCGAAGCCATCTCTACACAATTAGAAGCATGCAGTTTGCATCCAGCGGAATAAAAGGACTTACGACCAATACCTATCTTCTGGCTTATCTAAACACTGGGTAATAAAATAACAAAATTCTGACTAAGTAGCCCACTACATTGTCACAATGCCACTACAATTTTGGCCAATCAAGAAAAATGAGTAATCTAGGATATGTGCGCATAAAAGATCTTAGGCAACACTGAAAAATTTTTTTTAGTCTACGGTCCAATAATAAACTTTTCCACCAAATAAACACCATTGAAAATTACTTGGAAATATTTTTAAGAAGTATCATGTATTGGGGGCACCTGGGTTCAGTCAGTTAAGCGTCCGACTTCGGCTCAGGTCAGGATCTCATGGTTCGTGGGTTCAAGCCCCATGTCCGGCTCTGTGCTGACAGCTAGCTCAGAGCCTGGAGCCTGCTTCAGATTCTGTCTCCCTCTTTCTCTGACCCTCCCCTGCTCACGTTGTCTCTCTCTCTCTCTCTCAGCTAGAAAAAAATAAAAAAAAAAAAAGAAATTAAAAAAAAAAACATTAAAAAAAAAGAAGTATCATGTATCAGAAAACATGCTAGAAACTTTAATATACTTCACCTTTACTGCAACGGGCAAGGTAGCTTTTATTAGATCGCTTTACCAATGAGAAAACGGAGATGGGAGATGACATGATTTTTCAAGCTCACGCTGCCAGGACCCACATGAAAAACTCCAGGCTGCTCTCATCCCTATTTACTTTTCTTTCACTGTCCGAATATCTTCTTTTGCACCTTGTTCTCTAACGTTAGCCACAATGAACACACGGTCTATAACCACCTCTTTCCTCTAGCTCTTTGTACACCAAAGAGACTTCTCTATCTGAAAAACTGTTACCCTCTGCCCCTAACTTGTAATGAATTCCTCCTCCTTCTGTAGGTGACAAATAACAAAAACTCTGATTTTATAAACTTAAGAAAACAGAAACATAACATTCACTGTTCTTTCAAATCTGTTTTAAGCCACTTTCTCTGGTCTTTAATGGCCTGCTCAGGGCAGCAACAGACTCTACCTTATTAGTAATTTGCTAATGATTTAGATCGTAACAGAAAGTATACTTATGTAGTACTTGATATTACTACCAATAAATATATAGTAGTAATAATTGCTAGAAGTAGGAGAATGACTTGTAGTTAAATGAGAAAAATCTGTTCTATCACCTAACTGATTTTATTCCAGGTAAGTCCTACCTGTAACATGATAAAATATCCTTAGAAAGGATTGGCAGCATACTAATCAACAAGAAAATTCACTGCTTAACACATCTATTGGGATACATGGTTACTAGTTAATGTCTAACAGTTAAAAATGATCTCCATGTAGTAGATATGTGTCGACCATTTTCCTACAAACTAGGCATCATTAGAACATAAAACATTAGAACATAAAGCTAAGAGTATAATAATAACATATGCAACTACCCACTGTAACAAGTAAAATACCTAAGATTCTATTAAATTGAGGAAATAGTGTGGGGATGGATATTGTTCAGGTTGATCTGCAGCTACATGTATTAATTCTCCAAATTCTAAGCCAGTTATCAAATTTCTATTCATTTTCTAGTCTCACTTTTGTCACTAATACATAGAGAATAAAAAACCACCACAAAAATTTTGGTTAAAACCAACATCTTTTTAAGTATTTGGTCATTCTCCCTTAAAATCACATTACTTCTTTCATAAATTTAAAACAAACTGACCCCTGCCAAAGCAAGCCAGAAATAGTGTCCAATCATATACTAAATATTTTTCCCTGTTTATGTCACCTCAGAATGGCCTCCTGTCACCATCCAACCTATTATGTTTCTCCTGATGGTTTCAATCACAGTGCCCTATTAATTTTTTCATTACACTTAAAACAATTGCTAATTGTTTGCTTACTTGTTTATTGTCTGTCTTGCCACTGAAAAGCAGAAAACCATGAATACTTTAATCACCAACGAATAACCAGCTCCTTCTCAGATACCTGGCATTATAAAGGTGCTCCACAAATATCATTTAATCAATGTGAACAAGTAAATTGTGTGTGTGTGTGTGTGTGTGTGTGTCTTTGTAAAGGGAATGTGTTTTGTAGTTTATTAAGATTACCTAGGAACAAGGTCCAATAGCAGCTGGATCACAATATGTAAGTTTCCAGTTAAAAAAGTTTATATCTCATTAACCAATAATATCATCAAAAATAGTTTTGTCTCTTGATATGGCTAATTACACTGATTGCCTTTTGAATGGTGAACTAGCTTTGCAATACCCGGATAAACTGCTCTTGGTCATGAAATAGTATTCTTTTTACACATTGCTACACTCTCTTTGTTAATATTTTGCTGAAATTTTTAGATCCCATGAAGGATACTGGTCTGCAGTTACTCTTATTATGGCTTGTCTGGAAATGCTGGCTATAAAATAAATTGGTACGTGTCTCTCCTCTTATGTTTATGTACAATTGGTATTATTTCTTCCTTAAATAATCATCTCAAGGGATGCAAAAAAGCCACTTAAGAAAATTAAACACAGAGGGGCATCTGGGTGGCTCAGTCTGTTAAACGTCTGACTTTGGCTTAGGTCATGATCTCGCGGTTTCTGAGTTTGAGCCCCATGTTGGGCTCTGTGCTGACAGCTCGGAGCCTGGAGCCTGCTTCAGATTCTGTGTCTCCCCCTTTCTCTGCCCCTCCCATACTCATGCTCTGTCTCTCTTTGTCTCTCAATAATAAATAAAAACGTTAAAAATTTTTTTTTAAAAAAAGGAAAATTAAACACAGATTCATGATAAAAACTCTCAGTAAACTAGGGAAAAAAGGAAACTTCTTTATCTGATAAAAGGTATTTACTTAAGCCCTAGAATTAACATATCTAATGATGAAAGATCAAATGTTTTCTACCCAAGTGGAAAATTTGTATTGAAGGTCCCAACAAATACAAAAAGAAAAAGAAATAAAAAGCACAAAGATTGATATGGAAGAAGTAAAAAAACATCCTATTCACACAGAATGATAGTCTCTATAGAAAAATCTCAAAACATCTACAAAAAAGCTACCAGAATAAGTGTATTAAGCAAGGTAGTAGGATACAAGTCATCATATAATAATTGACTATATTTCCACACATAGCAATGGACAATTAGACATTGAAATTTTAAAACGGTATCATTTACAATAGTACCAAAAACCATTAAATATTTACGTATAAATCTAACAAAATACATGCAAGACGTAGATGCTGAAACTACAGAACACTGCTGAGTGAAATCAAAGAAGACCCAAGCAAATGATGAGGTATACCATCTTCATGGAATACAAGACTCAATATTGTTAAGATGTTAATTTTCCCCAAACTAAATCTATATATTTGGACACATTCACCATCAAAATCATTATTTTTTTTGTAAAACTCTGCAAGTCGATTCTAAAATTTATATGGTGTGGCAAAGTAACTAAAATACAACAATTTCAAAAATGAACAAAGTGGGAGGATTCATACTATTTGATTTCAAGATTTACTACAAAACTACAGTAATCAAAACAGTGTGGTATTGGAAAAGAAGAGACACATAGATCAACAGAAAAGAACAAAGCCCGTATATATGGTAAATTGATTTTTCATAAGAGGTCTAAAAATAGTATTGGATTAACTCTTTCCTATGGACTAAATCATAAGTTGCAAATACTAATTTCTTTGGCCTAAAGATTCTTCTTTCTTTACAAAGGGTGAAACTGTTTTTTTTTTAATTTTTTTTTAATGTTTTATTTATTTCTAGGAGAGAGAGAGAGAGAGACAGCGTGAGCAGGGGAGGGTCAGAGAGAGAGGGAGTCACAGACTGAAACAGGCTCCAGGCTCCGAGCTGGCAGTCAGCACAGAGCCCGACGCGGGGCTCGAACCCACGAACCACGAGATCATGACCTAAGCGAAAGTCGGACGCTTAACCAACTAAGCCACCCAGGCGCCCCAGGGTGAAACTGTTTTAAGGAAAAAATGAATAGCAAATTTCAAAGTGAGAAACAAAAGAAAATTAACATACATAGGGAATGACATTTAAGAATATTAATATAAAAGATATATGCTGAGTTTTAAGCTCTGGACATTTCTAGATTACTAAAGAGAAAAGCTTTCCGGAGTCATTTCAAAAACATAAAATAAACTGCATAAGATGAAAGATTTACTGCCAACATTAAAATAAACTGTTTCTATTTACTTTCTGTAAGTAAAGACTTTTCTACAAGCTTTGAAAAACAAAAATCAATTAAGTACGTGATAAATCATTATTCCTTGATGATGGACAAAGGTTACCCACGGCGGGGTGGGGGGTGGAGATGTCTATCAGATGACAAGCTAAGAGGGCCGTAAAAAGTAAAGGAGCTGATTAGAATTTAAAACAGATTAAGATAAAATACACCTGAGCAAATAAAAAGTTTATACCTGGTAGCCCTTATTGTTCTTCTAATAGAGTGGCTGGGAGATGTTCCCTTTTTCCTCCCCAAACTTGAACCTTAAACCCCCAGACGAACTTTAAGCGTTTGTAGGTGGGCAAAGAACGGCGTGTGAACTACTCTACTGAGCTTTCTATGGTATTAAGGCAACAGAGTTCCAGTTTTAAGGGGCTGGAAGAGAAAGGGGGTGTGGCGGGGAAGAGAAGTGACTTGATGGAGCAAGAGAAGATGATTGGAAGATGATTTCATAGTGCAGGCGGTGTATGAAATTACAAGGACTGGGTGGGCGAGTTTTCAAAGCTTGGAGTCAGGTAGTGTAGACAAATTAGTCACCCAGAAGGTACAGGAGTTGGGAAACTATGGAATCGGCACTAGCAGGAGGCAAAACGAAGAGGGAAGAGGAATGGGAATACAGGGTCAATTACTACAAGCTCCAGACGCTGAGACCCCAGGATGACAGGGGAATGGCACCAGAGGAAGGGCTCAGACAGCTGGGAGCATCTCCAGGAACCAGGTGGGAGGGATACGGCAGGAAACGGGGCACACCCGTCTGAAGCAGAGCAAGAGGGGCCCTCACTGAATCTAATTCCAGATTCCTAGGAAGAGCAGAGATGCAGGCAGGCAGGGAAGGCTCCGGGGTCCCAAGCGACGACACCTCACTCACCTGGTTGGTGACCTGAAAACGAAACAGACAACACAATTTATAGAAACGAACTGCTCTGGACCAGCCGCGGGATCCCGCTTCCCTCCGCCCATGCCCGCGGCCTCAGGCCGAGACCCAAGCCGCGCACACCTCGGGATTGGCCTCCAGCGGCAGCCAGCGCTGACCCTCCATGGCCACTCCGCCCGGCCCCTCTCCGGCTCTGACAGCCGCCGCCGCCGCCGCCGCCGCAGCTTCCGCCCCCGCGCGCTCTGACCTGGGACCGTCCAACCCGCCTCCTCCCCAGGGAGGGGTGCTGGAGAACGAAAAAGAGCTTGGCAACACTCTAGTGCCTTTCTCGTTCCCTGCAGAGCCACACTCAAACATTACATTTTAAGTTAGGATACAGCCGGAGAAGAGAAGAAGAGAAGCCGCCTCCCTATTGCGGAAGGAAAAAGTATCTGAACCCATAACTAGCTCCCCTCTCACTTGGACTGTTCCTATCAGAGCCTAGCGCTCGCGTGCTACGCCTGCGCCTTGCGCGGGTCTGGGACCTCATGCTTGCAGGCGCCCTCCGTTCCTGCAGCTTCAGCTGGAGGCGCTAGGGGGCGCCCCACTGAGTCCTATTCTGAGAGCGAGCGACGGGATTGCCGTGTGTCAAGAGGCCCGAAGGCCAGTGGATGCCCAGGGGTCAAGTCCCAAAAGCTCCTTTGCCACGGTGCAGAGGTGATATGCAGAGGCCTTATCTGCTATTGCAGAGAGAGAGAGAGAGAGAGAGTGTGTGTGTCAGTGTGGGGGAGGGGTTGCTCTCTCTATACCTATTCAATTATGTGTGAAAAAAATGTCAAGCACCTGTTATGAATTAGACGCTGCACTCACCATAGGGTAGTAGAGGTGGACAGAAAAATGAAAAATCGCAACGAAGTATGATACATATGTTATAATGGTAGCATGAGATGTAGAACTGCAGAGATACTCAGCCAAAGTGGGGAGGGTATGTACGGAGGTTCCCTGCAGAAGGTATACAGAGAACCCTTGAAACGTAATATGCCCGCTACCCCAGGTCGAGTCTCTGGAGTTATCATTAACAATTTTGGCTCTCCAAAGGGATATCGTCTTAAAAACGGTTTCTGTTTAACCTGTGCCTCCCTCTCCATCTCCATCTTAAGGTTACTGCCTTAATTCTCTCAACATTTCACTCTTGCAATATCCTACATTATTAACAAATTAGGTTTCTGCATATCTGGTTATTCTCTGAAGAAGGGAAGTGTGCATCGTGGCTGCAGAGCCTGCAAGATTGAAGGGCTTTGGTTGGAAGTGATGCTGGAGGGGTGAGAAGGGACAGTCTCATCAAGACATCTGGGCCTCACTCTGAAAACAGCAGGGAACCACTCGAGGATTTTAAGCAGGATTTTCCTATTTCTCCTCCACCAGACTGTAAATCCCATAAGTCTTGCAGGAGTGTCTTTTTAAATTCTTTACATTGGTTTCCCAAAGCCTAACCCAGTGCCTGATACATAGAGACTTGATAAATACCTGAGGAATGAGGAGAATCATCAGATATGCAGAAACTTAATACATTAATAATGTAGGATATTTGCAAGAATGAAATGATGAGAGAATTTAAGGCAATAAACTATGGAGAATGGAGAGGAAGGCACAGATTAAAGAGAAACTGTTTTGAGAGGATATCCCTTTGGTGAACCGAAATTGTCAATGATAACTCCAGTGATCTGACCTGGGGTAGAGGGCATATTACCACTCTGCCCCCAGTAGTGGGCATTCAGGGAAAGGAGCTTTTATGAGTGAAAAAAAAAAAAAAAAGAGAATTTTATTATGTTGAGTTTGCCTTTCTCGAAGAACTTCCACTTTCCCTCTCATGTTCTTCTGGCCACTACTGTTTGACCTCCAAGGAGTTTCCAATCCTGTGACTCCTCTTTCTTCTTATCTATCTGATAGATTGCTGTTATAACCCCCCCAGAGTGAGTTGGTAACTCTGAAATGGGCAGCTTGTGATCAGCAGCTATAGTTGCATCATACTTGAGTTTTATGGCCAGGCTTTCAGGGACATGCCAGGGGCTGCTTTTCAAATGGCCTGCTGTCAGTGAATGGCCTTGCTCCAGAGCCCTTAGCTTCTACCCTGTGATTCTCCTGTTAGGGTTCCCTAAGACTCCACATAGCACCCTTCCTCACTCACCATGATCATCTCTAGTACCACTGGATCTGCTGAGACATAGGGCCAAACAGCAAGGCCACTTGCCTTTCACAGTGACTTGCTGCAGAGCACATTTTTGTTCAGGGACCCACTCAAGCTGACACCCATCCATGTTACCCAATAAATGTGTTGCAGCTGTAAATTTCCAGTGTGGCATATGCTGTTCTCAAAAAGCCAAAGAGCCCCAATTACTCTGCCCCTTTTCCATTAGAGGAGTTGCAAGATGAAGTTATTCTGCTCCTTAAAGAGGTTGTCCCTGTATGCTCCAAACGTTTAGACTCATTAAAATGCTGCACTAGGCCCCTAATCTTTGTAGGGTTTAAATTCTACTCTCTGGCATGAATGTACCCTATCATCATATTAAAGGGAAGTACTTTCCAAACTTGAATGTGCATACAAACATCTGGAGAATCTGAAATGCAGATTTGATTCAATATATCTGAGATGGATCTCAAGATTATGTATTATAGGCCCCAGTTTTTTAACTCTCCATCCATCCATCTCCTTTAAAATTTTTCCACGAAGGGACAAAGTAGTGTTGATCCCCATTATTCATGGATTCTGCACTTTGAATCTGCCTACCTGCTAACACTACCTGTATGCCCCAAATTAATACTCATGTCACTCCCACAGTTGTTTGCAGACATGTGCAGTGGCAAAAAACTTGAGTTCCCAGCTGAGGTTGAATAGGCAATATTCTGCCTTCTTGTTTCAGGTCTTATCTGAGAAACAAGTGTCTTTTTTGCAGTCTATTTAGTGCCTTTTTTTTTTCTTGGCATTTTTGCACTTTTTATTGATGATTTCAGTGTATATAAGGCCCCAAGCATTGTGCAGATGTTCGGTCTGGTGTTCCCAAACACAAGAGGGCTGTGATGTGCCTTACACAGAAAATACATGTGTTAGATTTGTTCCTTCAGGCATGAGTTATGGTGCTGTTGGCCAGGAGTTTGATGCTAATAATTCAACAATATGTATTAAGTGAGGTGACTTTAAACAGAAACACATGAAACAAGGTTACATATTGATCTGTTGATGAAAATGTTATCAGAGGCTCACAGGAACCTAACCTGTACTTCCCCTGGGAAGTACCAGTACTTGCACTGGTTCTATATTTACTAAAGCCTTATTCATGGTGACTTTATAGACCATAACCACCGCAAATAACGAGAATCAGCTGTGTTATTTCTCCATTCCTTGACACTTAGTTCAGCCACGTGACTTGTTTGGTCAATAAAGTAGGGCAAGCATAATGGTGTGTCTGTTCCAAGCCAGGCCTTAACGAGCTCTGGCTTGCACTTCTGCCATTGCCTTGAGAAGAATGTGCTGGGCCTAGCCTGCTGGTGCCGGAAACACAGCAAAAGACACCTTGAGCACCACCTCGGCTGAGCCCAGCCTAGACTGGCCAACCCACTGCTAACCCTTGAGAAACGTAAGCTAAATAAATATTTGCTTGTAGCATGACATTGGGAATTTGTGTGTGTGGGGGGGGTAGTCAGTTTGTTTTTACAAATTAATTAGCAGCAATTAATTACTATACCTGCCAAAATGTTAAATCATCAAATTAAAAGGAATAGCTAGGTAATTGATACATTTGCCCCAAATTCTAATAGCCAAATAAAGATGTGTAGTTTTACCGCTAGAAATTTTTAAAATGTGTATGTTAACACAACTTTGTTAGTGACCTGTTCAACTATGTTAACTAAGCGAGATGTTATTATCACAGTGAAACAATAATATATATTCAGACTTGATTCAGCCTTTACTCTTCAAGAAAAACTTTGACATTTCTTATACATTTGTTTGATCCTCACTACAGTCCAACAAGCAGGTGAGAGAGAGAGAGAGATGTCACCATGTTACAAACACAGTAGCTACGACTTGGAGAGTTTAAGTTGTTTCACAGGTGGCAGAATGTGACTTCAATCTAGATTTCCTGCAGCTAGATCTAGGAATTCTTTTCAAAGCAGGAAAGAGACCAGAGAAGTGAACACACTGACAAGTTAGAGAAGGGTGCTCAGAAGATAGGCTGGGGATGGGAGGAGGAGGCTACAAACGATACCAAAGTATCGTTGCAATAGCAGGTGCCAGAATTCCTCTGAACTGTCCATTCAGAAAAATTTCACACCATTGATGAACCACTTAGGCTGGAGACTGAGACCCAGGGATGTCCGAGTCAGTAGGAAGACAAGCAGCAGCAGATCATTTCTACACGTCTCTTCCAGGGAGAAGAGTGTGTGGAGGGCTGGAGAAGGAAGGGGAGAATAAGAGAGAGGATGAGGAGAAGGGGAATAAAAAGAAAAAAGGAGGTGAGGAGCATGAGAGAGGAGCCTAAAAGAGAGAAAAATCCCAGAACTTAATGCATTGCAGGATATCTCATTTTATTTTCATTGATCATGAATGAGTTTTGACATTTTTCAAGTTGTTTTTAGCTATAACTTCACATCTTTTCATCCTCGATCCATCCTAAAATTCTTTCTTAAAGCTCCTGTAGTATCTATTATGTATTCCAGCGCTTCCCAATCTTTCCCTCCATGTGATACAGATAAGCGATATCATATAATCCATGCACTTTTATTCACTTTAATACTGACAGATTGATTTCAATGGTTGTCAAAGAATATCAAGGTTTGTCACCATTTCCTACTAGACTAGACTCATGGATTCATTTTCTCAGCCACTGATGAAAATTCAATAACTTCTATTCAAAAACAGCAGGGTGTTTCTGACAAAGGGATGTTCAATGTCTTAACAAAAGTACTTGTGACTCAAAACCTCTTCTCTCATCCTTATAAGGTTTCATTCTTATATTCTGAGGGATTTGGTGATTTATCCAACCTTAAACTAGAATAAGCTACATTTTGTTTTATCTACTCAGGGCTATCTACCTTTTTTTTTTTTAGGAACTGTAAACTATTGGGTTGTTTTCTAAGAAAATATGGATTTTTGGTCATTACTCCAAGGAACCATATTTGCCTTACTGATACAAGTTTACACCCATTGTTCTATTTCCATACCTAGTAGCTTTTTGTTGTGCCAAATCAGAGAATAATCTT